TCTAAAGAGTGGTACACCAAAAATTTACCAACCTTTACTTGTCTCTACTTGTAGATACATGCCCTCTATACCTAATTGTAAACCACTCTTCCCTCTAGTCACCAAGTAGATTTGTAATCCCATACAAACATCCTATTTAATGGATTGATCTTTCTAACCAAGAATTTATACATATAAAATCTCTCACTTTCTTCTTCAATACCTTTTACTAGGAGAAGGAATGCAAGAATAGCATTAAAGATGGGATGATCCCAAACTGTTAGTAGAAATTATCGAAAGTAGTAAGAATTGCCCATCCATTTAGAAAAAGTTGACAAATTTTTATGCAAAAGTGTTAGAAAACCTCAATCATAAATTTGGATAGAGAAAATCAGTAATTATACTCAATCATACAAGTAAAAATAATTATTTCAATGTCTATCTCCATGTCTCTGAAGTTGGTCTCCTTATCCTATCATTTAGGTTAAGGATAACAATAAAGTAAAGCCATCTCAAATAAGAGAAAAATAGTTATCCTTCTCCTAGAAACCTCAATGGGACCTCTTTTCATAAAGGTAGATACGGATACTTGTGCATCACTAAAGAGAAAAACAACACCTATATTAGGATTTGCTCATTTGCCATTAGTAAAAGCCCCAAATACACCTTTCATTCTCTTTAAATTCACCATTTTCAATCACATACAAAAAAAAAAAAGGATGTACCTATCAAGGCTCTAATAAACTCGTCAAAGAAAAGGAGTCACTCCATAATAGACCAAATTGCCTTAAAAAATATTAAAATCGTTAAGATTTCTCAAGATTAAAAGGAGCAACTTGCCAAAAAAATATCTTTTCAAAGACCTATAGTCACCGACTCAATATAAATCCTCACTAACCCTCTAAAAACTCACAACAATAAAAACAAAAATCAACGAGAAAGTGAGAAGAAAAAGACATCATTATAAATTTACGAGCAAAAAAGCACGAAACTTTTGTATTGAGTACTCAAAATCTCAAGTTTAGTAAACGAGCCTAATCCGACATTAAACAATCATATATCGTCATTAATCTTACAAAATAATTGAAATGGTGTCATTTGATTTATGAAGGAGAATCCAAAAAGCTCAATCTCTTCAATTTCCTCAATGCTCTCATGCACGAGTGTTTGGTTTTTCTATGTCCGAATGTTTATCGAGGTACAAGTATTAAATGAATCTTTAATACACCCACTAAGGTCAAGTTTGAAAAAAAGTAAGAAACTAACGTTTGTCCAGACAATCACTAACCGTCTCATTAGACTCCGAACACAATTTGAGCCTTCTCTAAATATACTTACCAAAGGCTCAAGAGGGCTAATGATACATCCACATGATCACAATCATGATAAGTGTCCTCTTGCTCCACTCAAAGACCACCCGAACAAGGTTTCATCTTAAAAAAAAACTTTGACAAGCCATTAGGGACATCACAATCGGATAAACTCTAAACAACCAATATGGACAAACAATCTAAACAAAGAGTGTATCCCTTCTCTCACTTATTAAGGAAAAAAAAACATATATTTAATGAAAGTGTGGCTCCTTGGGACGTCTCCGTCACATCGTCATCAAACATGAGTATACATATGTCATTAGACAATATTTGCCTAAAGGAATGCTAAACCTTCAAATAGATGTTAGGAGTCGTTGAACATCGTAAAAGAGACTAATATACCCTCTACTCCATGGAAGTTGATCACATCACCTATATAAAAGTTAATACATTAAATGTTATAGGTTTTGTCTTATAAGCTCAAAGTAGATATAATATTACATATTTTCTCTATATAAGAGCAAAGTTCTTTAAAGCCTACTTAGGCAATACATATCTCTCTATAAGCTACCTTAGCCATTGGAGGGTACTCCAAACGTTAGAGACTTATTTTATTAGTACTCATCATTGATTTGACTTGACAAGGTATATCAATCATACAATCGAGCTTGGAATGAAAACTATCTAACCATCAATTTTTATTTAAGAATCACGATCTTATCAATAATGGTTTTGTTTTGCTAATTATTTTTTCAAAATTTTCATTTAAAACCCAAATATATATACTTTCTTTTTCTTCTTTCAAAAAGAAGTATCTATACCAATACGAGTTGAGATGAAATTTGGCAAGCAAGATATTTTATATTTAACAAATTTATTAATATGATTGACCCATTGGATTGGACACAATTTTGCCTTATGAATTAATTTAAACCTTTTGGTTTGACGCTTAAATTTATGGAATATCTAATTAAAATTATAAAAACAATTGAATTTCCTTTTTTAATATTTATAGCTAGTGGGGCATTTTCGATCAGCTTTTGCATTAATCGAGACTATTTATATCATTTTCTAGGCTAAGCTAGCGTCGAAAACGCTTAATATTTGATCGATCACTAAATTTCTTTTAAAATCAAATTAAGCCAAGCCTAGTACTACTAAGAAACAATTATGGTTAACCATTCATGAATAGTAGGAATTGAATCTTAGTCTAGGTCAAATCGGTAGATCACATCTTTTGGTAGTAATTGAATTTTTTTTGCTTACATCTTATAGCTGACATGTAAATTTTTTTTATAATACTCAAAAAATAACTACTAATATTTACTTGATAACAAATAATAATAATAATAAGAAGAAGAAAGAAAAAATTAAAAATAAACTTTGAGTTACTCGTTAAAATATTTTTATCATTTTTTAATATTTATCGATGTAATTTTTTTTTCTTGTGTTTCTCTCTCCTCCAAAATCAACGTATAAAATAAATATTAACAAAGATTTCTTGAATTTTTTATAATTTCTGATATGTGGAGGTTCAATCTAGCAACCACAAAAAGGTATGGAAAGATATGTGACCGGTGGGTGAAAGTGAGAGTCGATCTCCCATGTTAATGCTCTCTTATATTCTGTGTCCCAACACATCGCGATCTGCTCCGTTGAGCCTTTCCTCCGGAGTAAAGACTTGTGCTAGGTTTAGTACGGTCAAGATCATTACAGGTCTGGCTGCCCTTCCGGTTCTCCTGAGTAAACTAATGCTGGACCAAAAGTACAACGCAAAGAGAAGGAATTCAATTGCCATTTATTTGTTGTTTGATATTGAAGAAAGAAACAAGGAAATATGTCAAATCATTAAAAAGGTGTATGGAAGTTGCAAGTCCTCAATAGGAAGAAACTGGACCATTCAACTAAAAGTCAATATCATTGCTTCCAAACATTTGATGCTAACCGCATGCAGTTGGAGTGGGGAAACACTGTAGATTGTCCTAAATTTAGAGAACCGATGCCTGTAACAGTTTTCCCAAGCTAGCATTCATGCTCTGTAACGTTTGTAAGAACATTAACGCCGTAAAAACAATTCACTGGAGCACTAGTATTATTATTGTTAGATTACCAATCCTTTTCATTGCTCTAACTAGAGTATAAACAGAGAGGTGGTCTATAGTTTTTCTAATTAATTCTCTTCTCCTATAATTTAATAGGTAACTTCGAAAGTCTTTTAACTTATTGCTGTTCATCAAAGCAACAGTAGAAGGCATAGCACCATGAATTATGAACAATGGTGACACCAAAGAAAGAGGTTTCCAGGATAACTGCTCTCCGGGCCATCTCTGTCTAGAAATGATACGATAACGGATCGAATATAAAACAAATATTCATTAAAACAGATATTCATTTTCTTTGATCTAATAAATACTTATTAAAAATATCTAATAGATATTAAAGTGAGTAAGGATAAAAAAATAAATAATCACTAATATGATTTTAGGACATAAATACTTATTCTTTACTCTATTAATACCCACTAATTTATTTAAATTTTTTATTAACATATATGAATTTACTTGTATAAAATTTAAAAATTAAGGATCAAAATATTTTTAAAAAAAACTTGGAGAGGACAAAAAAAACTAATAAATAAATGATCAAATGAAAAAAAAATTAAAATTTAAGTATAAAAAAACTTTTTAAAAAATTTTAAAAATTAAAATAAATATTTTTAACAAGTTAAATTTAATGAGTATTAAATAAATATTAAATGAACGAATAAACTAATCTCAGTAACCTAATATAAGCTAAGTCTATACAATAAAAATTTATATAATAATTTTTTAATAAATAATAAATAAGTTATTTTTTTATCAAAAAAATAAAAAATTAAATTAATGAATCAAATAACTTTTCATCTCTTCCTTCCTTAGAGACTTGCAGCATAGAAGGTCATAAACATTCTCCGTATCAAATCTTCATGACACGTAAGTGGTCCAAATTCTCACAAGTAATGCCCCGATCGCCGTGACCGCCATGCTAATAACCGGCGTTTTGGGCAAACTCGTAGATTTTTTACCCACAGGCTACATCCTATCAAAGCTCCCTCGAATCAAGTACAACCAAAGATATACAAGCTCCTTAGCCAAATATATATATACATATATATACACACATTCTATAGAGATCGTACACTCATTTTTCTCATCGAGAGAAAAGGTTAGGAACCCTTCGAACGTTCAGAGCCCTGCCCTTGGATCAGTGCCTTCCATTCAGGGTATGCTTGATAGACACAGAACTTGTCATAATATTTCATCTTAGTCCCTGTATTTTTTTAAAAAAAAGTTAATTTGGTCCTTAACTTTTTTTAAAAATCAATCCTTTATTCATAAGTTTTTTGGCGCTCGATTTTTAAGTAAAAAAAAATTTTGATCGCTACTTCTGTCACCCTCTAATACAAGTCAACAACACTCAAAAGCTAGCATTCTGGAGCCAAAAAGAAAATAGCTTCGTCCAATTACTGACAAATTTGATGACAACCTTTCATATAATGTGTGATTATTTACACAATGCGGGGTTCCTAATGATTCGAGATGTAGGCCAGAAACTCTATCCAGTGGTTAAGAACCAAATGGATACACTCTAGTTCAACATTCTATTCATAAAACCAGTAGAATTTACAACATGAGAAAATCAAACTTTTTCGGCAAGAGATTTGCAAGCTTACCGAAGATCAAGAACATCAAACTTCATCTTGGAATTCATATAAACATGAGAACAGTGCTCATAAATTTGGCTTCCATCCAAAGCCTCCTCATGGGGATGAAACCCTCTCTGCTGGCAATTACGAATCACAGACACACCACTTGGATCGGATAAATGAAATATTCCATGTGGACTGCACTAGCAGAGTATATTTGTTAGCTTCCAAATAAATTTATTTTTTTCAGCAAGGGAGTATCTGGGTCATTGGCCCAAGACATCCCTGAGGCTAGAGCTTCAATACATGAGACAACCCAGACGATTGCAGCCCTTGAACCAACCCCATGTCGATATTTGAACTGCCATATTTTCTGAGTCATTTTTTTAATCTCTTACTGAACCACTTCCTGCATTAGCATATTTACTGATGTCTTTTTATATCACCATATGGACCATGGTCTCGAGTGTGATTACAATTTCAAAACTAGACCAACACTTCACAAATGATAGGCCAACCTCATGATGAACACAACAATATATCTACAAATATAAGGTACAAGCAGTGAATACATTTATTCTTTATGGGATCCAAGTTTTAATTATTCCATTTTATCATTTTATATAAAATAGACGAAAAAAGATAAACCCACCTTGATTCATCAGTCGGGGCCATAACAATGGCAATTGCTTCAGGCAACATGATCTGAAAACAGGAAGCAAAAAGGTCACACTATATTGTAAAACAACTGGATACTAGATCAAACAAATGCCGAAAACTCAAGTTGTGACAATGCTAATATTCTTTTCAATATTCAGTATGTTCATAAATAATTGGAGAATAAGTGCAGTGATGAAATAAAAGGCATGGTAGAAACCACTTTTTTAGCGAGGATTGTTAAATACAATTAAGCAATGATCTATTATGCTGAGTAAAACCTGTGCACAAAAGCTTTTCAAATCACTGAACACATACTTAGCTGCATATATGCAAGCTCAGAGAGAGCACAACAATGTACTGGAAAAATTGACATCCCATGAGGAAGAACCAGGGACGGTATTAGTGCAAACTCCAAAGGCAGCACAAAATAAAAGTAGGAGGAAAGAAGAGGAAAAATAAAAAAGGATAGCTGGTGCTATTAATGTTACCTGATATGAGTAGTGAGTGTGCAGATCAACTGATGACATGAAACAGGTCTGTGATGGGTGTGTCTGAAAAGTCAAGTAAGAAACTCGAATAAGGTAACACATAAAGCACAAAATCAAACTCTACTTAAAAAATAACTCGTTTTATATACCAATAGCCTGTGTTACTAAAAATGTGAAGGCAGTTATGAATGGTACCTACAAAAACAAGACCAACTAGAGGAAAAGTAATAAAATAAACTAGATTGATGGGAACGGAAAATTTTAAAAATTTTAGCCACCTACTTTCTAACAGGACAACTGATATGAAAACAAAACAAGTAATACAATCAAGTCAACAGAAAATTTTGACACTAACTTGCCATTATGGCAATTGAGATACTCACATGAATCCATCCAAGGGGAAAAAGAGATAGTTTGTCTTGAACTTCAAATATTTCTTCTTCATTCAATGTCTGGCACTGCACATTAGAATTGTTTCAGGCAATGTTAGAAAAAGCACAGCCATGGAGAAACAGGGGAAAATAAAATTACAAAAATATGATAGATTATATCTCAAAGTCCGACGCCATAAGGTTATAACATTAAATTGCATTCCAAAGCATATAGTATACTTAGTGTCCAAAAATATGGGCATGGATCTTCCAAAGAAAAAACAACCTTAGCCTGCATTCTTTAGTATATCGAGGTCTTGTTCGCTTCAACAATAATGTAAATGGAAATTAAAATGAGGAATAGTTCTATTTCCATTTGAAGGGATGACAAACATGCAGGCATGTGTGCATAGGTATTTATATACATAAGCCAAAATATATTAGGACACGAAAAAAAGATACATCTCTCAAAAGGGGAATAAAATGTGTTCTTTTGGATATAATCTTGATGTCAACTGTCTCCTGACATCTCTAGAATTAACAGATTTCACAACTCAAAATCATCAACAATTGACCTTCCATCATTTACCAGTAGAAAATAGTAGAGCATGAAACATGTAGAATTTACAGCAACTTCATAATTTTGAAAATAACTCTAGTTAAAAAAGTACATAAAACAATAAAAAGCTGTGAGAAAAAGTTGTTCTTTTACCGAATCTGAAGTTGACTCTTGCTTTGGGATTATAAGTGTAGTAATGTGAAAAACCCTGTTTTTCTGCATCACAAGAAGGGAAATGAATAAGAGACTTTAACAGCTTCCAAAGAAAAAAAAATCATTTTATATAAGATTTGGCCCCCCTACCAGTGAACCAGCAAGAACACCACAAGTTTCTAAATTTTTCTCAGTATTTGTCCGAGCCAGTCTCAAGAAGTCTTCCATCAAATTTACAGGCTGAAGTGACAGTCAAAAATGAATATAAGAGAGAAGTACTATGATCAAGAATTTGAAATGAAAGGACCATGATGACTAAATGTGAAAAGAAAAAAAAAACCAAAAGATAGTGGATCTCCCTTAAACATAAATTTTCAAATACTAAAAGATGTAGAAAACCTACAACATGTAAATGCTGATAGGAATTAGAGCTTGGCAATCCATCATCAGAAGGTTTTGCAGGTCCAGGTCTTGGATCGGCAACCTTAGACGAAGGAATCGGAGTAAATTCCTGCTGCACTTTAGCCAGAACAGGAGGAGGGGCGGGTTGCCTAATGCCGACAAACTGAAAAGGATCTTCCCTTGCTTCATTAATTAATGCTGGGCATGCGTCCTCAGCTAGATGTGGCCATCTACCATCATCTAAGGATAGAACTGATTCCATTGTAGATTCAACAGCCACAGAATTGGAATCTTTTACTGCCATAACATCATATTGTCCAGCCTGATTCATGCTATCATAACGATAATAAAACAGAAAATGTTATGAGCAGCTGCTCTTTAGAGGGACAGCCTTAACAAGTATCATGGAACATATTCAATAGTTTAAATTCATTGAAATATATAACAAAAATAATCCAAACTCCAAAAACGAAAAACATAGTTGAAGGTTTAAACAGATTTTGTCAAAGTCCTCACCTTGAATTTTCAGTAGAATTTAAGTCAGCATTGCATGGATACTGAACCTGGATATCAAAATAGAATTAATTAGTTCCTGGATTTTGCATGTTTAATTGAAAGCGCACACATAATACACACATGCACAAAAAGCAAACAAAAGAAGCAGCAAACGATATTACCTTTATCTCCGCACTAGGTCCTGACCATTGGCCCCGGAAACCATTTGGGCCTAAGAACGAGTGTCTCGATAAAGTCTCTTTCTTTGGTAAAGGTAAACTAACAGACCTGCATGTTTTAAGAAATAATTGAGTGGTTCTTACAGAAAAATTGAGCTAAATACCCTTATGCATCACTTTAAATTCACAGTTCACAGGCAGGAAAAAAAGAAAAGGAAAAAGGAAAGAAAAGCAGAATAGCTAAACATACAACCATCAAGAGGAGAAAAAATCAATGAGCACAGCCTCCTAAACCAAAGAGATATCTTTCATAACCAAAGGCCATGCAAATTGAATATCATACAGCTAAAGAAAATATAGGAATCGTGTTTCTGAATAATAAAATTATTCTTGAAATATTGATATACTCACAGCTTCTGCAATTGCTTGTCAATTTGTGACGTCTTTAAATACAACCCTTGAGTATGATTATTATCATACTTCCACGATGACTGAGGTGCAACAACTGCAGGCTAAAAGCACCAAAAAATAGAAAAAAAAATCAACAATCAACAAAAACAACATATAAAAAACATAAATACAACACAAAATAACTCACGTTATCATTTATTCACAATGCACGATCAACAACGAATTCCTTTAAATAATTACCTTGCTCGAGTAAGAATTTTTATTAGCAGGTAGCCATTCCAAAGCAGATGTTCCTGAACCATTAAATTCAAACTGCTGAGCTCTTGAGTAAGCCTTTTCTAGCTCATCCAAACGCCGCTGGAATTCAGGCTTAATTGATTCAACCTCATTTAATGCAGCATATGATCTCTGTTAAATAAAAAAATAATCACACCTTAATTATGATATAAATTAACATAAAGCTAACTGCTAGAAAAAGTAAAAAATAAATTGAACTTACTTTCATGTGATTTGTTCTTTCCTTTTGATACAAAGCTTGAAAATCTCGATGATAAGGTATAGTTTCAGAAACCAAACTAAAAAAAAAAAAAAAGGAATCAATTACGAAAAAAAATTGAAATTAGGGTAAAACTGGTTTAGTTTGCTGATTTTTACCTTACGTATCTAAGTAGTATTATGTACAAATCTACTACATTATTCTCTTCTCTGTGTATATTGGCCTATAAAATCCACAAAAAAGATAATTAGGGCAAAAATTAAAAACTGTTACATAATTGAGATATTATTGCTAAATTGAAATTAAAAAAGCGACTAGGTGACCTGACGGAGGAGATTATCCGCGATTCGGTAGTAATTACGGAGAGGAATCCGATTATCGACTTCGACTTTTCGAGTCATTTTATCGACGTTGATATTCATGGCGTTGAAGTTCGGTCGATTCCGATCAATTATTCTGGTGATTCCACGGGTGCCGTAGTGTAAAACGCGGGTTCTAGCAGAGATCAGTTTGTAGACTTAGTAGCAAAGAAAAGGAAGGAAAGTGGAAAGCTGTGTCGTTCTGAATAATAAGGGAGCTTCTTTTCTTCTTGTTCTCCTCTCTTTCCGTTTCTTTGCCTTTTTTTTTTTTTTATGTCGACATAGTGAGTTTAGATGTGGTTTTTATTACATGTGATCGCGGTAGTGGTATGCTGCTCGCGGAGTAAATTATAAATGAGTCCAATTAGTTTGGAAAATTTAATTTAACAGTCCCTCTATTTTTATAAACAATTAATTAATCCATTTTGTCCATTTCATGTCCTTTTTTAATTATTTTTTAAGAGAAATAAAAGGGAAAAAATAGATATTATGAAAATATTTGTGAAAATAAGATTTTTTTAAAAAATAGGTTAATATTAAATTAAGTATGATTAATACTTATCAAAACACTAATTAATTCATTTTTAAGACTAAAAGAATTATTTAATTCATTTTGTCCATCTAAAGGAACTAATTATAATTTACTCTTAAGTGGCGAGGTGCTATTGGAAAATTAAGGGAGGTTGTACGATATGGTCTCTATGGATAGGGGCAATTCGGCACATTAATTTTTTATGACTTAATTACATGTCAGCTAAAAGTTCAAACAATCTTTTAGGTATCATTAAACACGTATCATTGTGTTTTGTTATTAGTTGTTCGATTTTTTGTTGTGCTGCGGCTTTCAACTCAAAATCAAAACCATCAAGACTCATATTTTATTGAGGGGTTAATCCTTTTTTGATCTTTAAAAAGAAAAAAATACGCACATACTAACGATATTAAGTGTTTTATGTAATTCAATTTCAAAATTTTTTTCTCAAATAAGGATCTCAAATATATTTTTTTCAAAAAATATATAATTAGGTATTTTAAAGGTACCGAATATATCATTAGTTAATAAAAAATTAATAGAAATATTTGAATGATAATTTTGAAAAAAAAATTGATATACTCGAATAAAAAAAATTAAAATTTAGATATTTGATTGAGAAAAAATTAAAAGTTAATATACTAATAACGTTAGTATGTGTGTATTTTTTATCGCGGGACCTAATTATATATTTTTTTAACGAGTAAGCTTTACTAAGTTTAATTCAAAATTTTATAACTACAAATAATTTTTTAATTCTTTGTCAAATTTTAAAATGATAAAACAATTTAAGGAAAAAGTTTCTTACAACAAAAGATGAAAAAAATATATAATTTGTTATTATGAACAAGTTATTATTTAATGAAAAAATTGATGAAAACACTTGATTGATAGTTTTTTTTAAAAAAATTAATATATTCAATATGAAAAAAATTAAAATTCACATATTCTATAAAGAAAAAATGATAAACTTATAATTTGGTATTTTGAGGATAATGTACATATTATCGATTAACAAAAAATTAACAAAATATTTGATTGATAATTTTGAAAAAATTGATGTATTCAAATGAAAAAAATTAAAATTTATATATTTAATTGAGAAAAAGTTAAAAATTGTTATGCTTATATTGGAATTATCTCATTAAAAAATATCGAAGGAATTTTGTTGTTGAATAAGTTCGCCTTGATGCTGATCTAACTAAAAAAATATACATCAAATGATTGGCAATGTCGCAAACAATTGCTTCTTTAAATGGAATCCATTCAAAAACAATCAACTTCAAGCTTTCTTTTGCATTTCATCTTTCTCTTTATATTAAAAATCTACTAGGGTACGGTCTCGGTTTAATTGTTACAAGATTTTGTAAGATGAATTTTTACGCTATCAGCTAGACAACAAAAGGTATCACAAGTGTCAGTCTACTGGTTGCTTGACAAGTCATGATGTGATAATAGGAAAGTGGCATAGAGAAGCTCATTCCAGGAGTCTGGAACACCGGGAAGACACCAATGGCTGCAATCTTGGACCAACCAAGGAGTTCTTTGATGAACATCAGGTTGCCTGTAAACTGAAGGATGCCCATCTTTTCTATAGCCTGTCATTCTGGTAATGTTGAGGTAAGAAACTGGTGTCTTCATTTCTGATATAACAGATTCAAGAATCTTCATCATCAATGGATATGGTTTAAGTTGAGTGTCATTTGTTATAGGCTGCCTCTCTTCATGACAATGCCCACCTGAATCCCATTTCCCTTTCCTGCCATGCCACAGAAATTTTTTTTTTCTTTAAGTCCTAATGTGGAAAAATCAGAATTAGCAGTATCATTATCACTTGATCAGAGTAATGTACAAGATTTTGGCATTTTGCTTTTCGTCAAACCAAGGGGATAGCAGAAGTACTTAGCAATTGTATTTTCTTGTTTACCTGAAGTGAGAAGCTGAGTATCCACCGAAGAAGACCCTGGTATGGCTACTGTTGATGTTGGAATCAACCCATTTTGCCCATGTCCATAAAGCTTTCTTATAAGCTTCATTTACTTCCAGCTTGTTATAGACTTGCCTGCCTTCTTGGAAGTAACTTTTGCTGAAATATAAAATGACAGAAGTTATTAACCATATTAATTTTCAATGGTAAAGGCATTAAAACATTGATTATGATGATGGTTTTAGAGGGCTTAGAGTTAAGGATTTGCTTATATATCAAGCAAAATTTCGAAATCAATATAGAAATTACCCTTTGTATGTTTTCTGGTGAGTCCACCAGTGACCGGTGTTGAAGATGATTATGTCAGCATCATGGTACTTGAAGGAAGGGGTTTGGATCATGTCAAGCCTCAGTGTTTCTCTTCGATTTCCACGCCTGTCTGAGCTTCTCCATTCTTGAACAAGGAATGGCGATTTGACAAAGTCAATTGAGCAATTATGATCCTACATGGTAGGAAGAGCACAGTCAGATGTTTAATTCTGCAACTTTCAATTGGCAAAACTTCTTTTGACTTTCTACAGCATTTTCTGAAAGTTGAAAAAATCAGCAACAGGGATTCGTAAGCCAAAAATTGTAAGCCAAAGGAAGAGTTTTGGTGAGGATAAGCCTATGGTTTTGCAGTTGCAACATTGCAGGCTTTGCAGCTTACATTAACCCACCAGAACATGCAGATTTGGACATGTTTCCGATAAAGTGCGAACATTTCCAATTATAATCAACAGTTTTCCTAATAGAAGATTCTATAATGGCTTTTTATCGCCCAAATAACTTGATTAATGTGCTGATGAAAAATCCCATGATGCAGATGTGTTATCCTAATCACTAAAAAAAGAGACTGAGGTCTATGGCAAACAGAAAGGGATGGATTAATTACGGGAGCCATTGTGATCAATGCAAGGTGCATAGCGCAACTAACCAGGCAAGAAACCAACTAAGGGACATAAACAATAGTAGTACGAACAAATTAAGAAAAATTAACAGATACAATCACCAACAGATAACAAGACTAGAATTTCTTGAACTCACTATGAAATTGAAAGAGTAGAACCCTCTAGTCCTGAACTCTCGCCGACCCTCAACTTCAAAAATTCTGCTCTTATTCTCCAATGATTCTCTTAGAGCACAGACCAAAGATTGCCACATATTCCTATTCAATGAGTCACCCACAAACACCACTCTCTTCCCTCTCAACATCCGCAACATCTTTTTCCCATCAAACCTGCACAATCCAACAAACCCACAATAGTAACAAAAAGGAATCATCACAAAAAAAAATATATATATATATATATATTTCACAAATCATACGAAAGTTAAAAGAAACCGAGTGAATTTGTCTTTAGACCTTGGAAGGTGGCATCCATGTGGTTTCCATCGATATCGAAGATAATCCAAGTCTGGCCTTCCATTATTGAAACAGTTAAAGGCATCATCTAAATAAGGGCAAGACCCAGGTTGGTAAATAGGATCAGAATCATCAACAACCCAATTTCCATTAAAGATATCACAAGAACTAAGCCCTGCAATAACATCATCAGTTTCTTCTTCTTTTCTTGAATTCCTGCGAGTTCTTTCCATTGCAGTAACAGAAGAGAGTGTGCAGTTATCGGTGGAGTCAGAGACTAAACATGTAGTAGGAGATGCGATTGAAGAGAATGGAGAGATATATTTCGCTGCAAAAAGAATGCTAGAAGCAAAAGAAGAGGCAGTTAGAAAAGATGGCGAATGGTTGGTTAGTGATGCAGAGGAGAAGAAGAAAAACGAGAGGAGGAGGGCAATGGCTACATGGTGGGTTCTTGATCTTGGTAGAGGGAAAGATATGGTTCTTGAGAAGTTAATAGAAGTGGTGAAAAGGTCCTTGAAAGACGCCATGGAAGTGTTAAAGAAAAAGAAATGAAGGGAAATCCCCGGCCGGTTTGTTTATGTCATGGTTGATCGTTTGGTACTGTACAATTTGACCGATTGTGAGTAGCGGAAACGAAATTTTGGAGGGAAGGTCAGTTATCACTTCGTTTTATAATGGGCTTTTGTTGTTGCTGATAATATCCGTGGCCCATTTTATGCTTTTATGATTAGCGAGGCTCAGAAATCCTTTGCTATCACTCTGCTCACCCGATTAGAACCCCTAAAACGCCCATCATTTGATTGGTGAAAAACAAAGTGGGTCCCACATATCCCTCGCCGATATGATGATGGGTGACTCCGGCCGGGAATCTTATTGTGTATTATAAAATTTTCCGAGAACAATTGGAGATTTTAATCTCCATCCAATATTGTGTACATTTTTTTTTCTTTACGAGAAATAGATTTAAACTTGAGATTTATTATAAAAAATAGTAATACTAATATCAATTTAATCATAGCTTTTTATCAGATTTAAGGGTATGTTTTGCAAAATATATATAGTTATTCACCACTGTACAAGCCAAAATCATCCAGTTACTGCTTGTTATATATATATATATATTTTTAAAAAAGGGTTATTAATCATGCGTCAATATGGGTACTTATAAAAGAGATGCAGCAACTCATGTTGTTGGCTGTAAAGGTTCTATGTAGCTTGAACAAAATCTGGTTCTAGCAACTCATCAAATCAAGCCTTAGTCTACTTTCTTTCAGAGTGCCAAAAAGCGTACATTAACTTTTACATTTGTAAATTACATAAAGCTAGCTAGCGAGAAACAACCATCTGCTCTCCTCTCTTAAACCATCTCAACTGGGAGTATTCCCTCTGAAAGCAAGAAACCTCCAACCACGAATATCAAAGCAATAGAGCACGCCCAGCGAACATGAAGCCTAGTCCTAGCAGAATCTGGCTTGTAGTCTTGAATGCACTGTTTTCTTCATCTTCAAGGTGCTCAGACACATCAAAATTCCCTGGGTGACACCAACACCAGATTACGACATTGTGGAAGCAACCAGAGCAAGAGAACTACTTCATAAACTATTAAAATACCTCTTTCTAGACCATGGCTACATCCTGCCTTGATTGTGTCTCGAACAGCCTCTATGGTGGCTTTGTTATAGAAAACAAAGTTTTTCATGATGTTTTCGATGCAGTTGAGCACCAAATGTGTCTCCGAAAGGCATGGTCCACTGCAGTAGGAATCAACGTATTCAGGAGGCACATTAAGATTCCCTGCCTCGGTCAATCTGTAGGCTTCTTCGCAGCTGCTGTATATCTGAGACTTGGCAAGTATCAAACCCCAAGCAATTCGTAACAAACACGTAAGAATCTTTTTAACTAAAGATTAAATGTTTCACATGACATTTTTTTTGGTGCTAAAGAGAAAATGAACAAAGACCAAGGCCTAAGAAAGGCCACGCCAGAGGCAGCTCCCAGAAAAGAAGTACTTAACCCAGTAGTGGAAACTGGAAAGTAAAGAAAACTATAAACCTAATAGGCAACGTAAATATGCAAGTCAGAAAAAAGCACGTAAAGGCATCAATGGGTAAAGGAACGGTGATTAATTTACAGATTTCAACCTGCTCAATTGCATGTATCTTACCATGAGTGGACAAAACCAAGATCCACTTACATATTTATTGTTGAAACATAGCAAGGCTTTGGCAACAATGTCAGCTGGATCACCATATACAACGCCTGTGCCTGTTTGAGGCACACCACCTCCAATTCCTGTTCCAGTTTGGGGCACACCACCTGCAATTCCTGTGCCTGTTTCAGGCTCATCTTCATCTGCCTTCCCTGTGAAGGATCAGCAAATTATCATTAATGCTCCTAAATTACAATCACTAATTTTTCAGGACTATCTGTTTGTTCTCTGTCACATACCTAGGTTGCAGCAGAATATAGACACCCCAAGAAGAACTGCAGATAAAACCCAGAGTCTAAATACGATTGCATGTGCCATTATTGAAGATGGTAGACCATACAGCTTATAGAAGAAAAAGGGAAGAGTTGGGGCTGATTATATACCAATGCAGTGTGTCATCATCCTAGAAAATGCCATGGTTAGTTGCTTGCTGGTAGTGCAATTCAATTCCAAGATTGACTAATGTAGCCTACCATAATAGGACATTTTTCCAGTTAAGTTTTGTTTTTTAAATTGAGCTTCTATGATTCGTGTAGCTTTCATCTTTTGGGCATGGCCCACAACTCGCATGACCTAATTATCCTACAATTATGCATGCACTTTATACAAGTAAATAGGGGAACATCTCAAAAACTGGAGAACGTTTATGACAAGTAATGATAGTAATAGGAATAGTAGGTTGGTGAATCTATTTGGAATAAAGAGTCAACATAGTGGTTTGGTTTCTGTTTTGGGCATAAATTTGGCTGAACGGAGAGGAATACAAGGAAAAGAGAGCAGTTGGAGTGCAAGCCACCAACTTGCCTAGAATTTCTGGAAGTAAAGAAAATCAAACCTAAAATACTTTCTGGTTAAATACATTTACCGCAAGTCATTGTTACTTCTCAACTTCATTAATGAGGAGATTGGCATAATTACCTCATTTCTTCGTCACTTAATAGCCCTAAGCATTACAAGTTTAGCTTGCTGTAAGTGGCGTGTTAAGAGCAAGTTCTTCGGGAATTCAAATAATCACATTGAGGCATTTGGAACCTTGGCTTGAACGCCGCTTTATTCTGAGTAACAAATTGTTAAATCAATGTTCGAAACCCATGCTAACTTCCAGGATGTACCAGAATAAGGAGAGCATACATTCGCAGTGGAAGAAGATGCGTTAACAATTTTTATTTTATTTTTTTTTTTTTTTTTTTTTTTTTTTTTTTTTTGCTATGAGATACTAACGGTAAACTAGTAAATTATGAAACATTAACATATGACAAATGCTGTTGCCCAGGTTAAAAAAAATAAGTATATCCTGAGTAGATGTTGAAGCACACCTTGAATGAGGCTTTGTATGCACCCAAGAGATTCCCTACAACATGTGGTAAGCTTGATAACCAACTATGCCACTCGGCTCCATACATAACATAGGAGAAAGAGTAACCAGGTAATTTCTCAGATTTCCACATGACCTGTGTCTCCCTTTAACCACAACAAGAGGTAAAGGTTGAGAAGAAAAATTGAGTGGTGCACACTGACAAGCCCAAAAGTTATTTCTTCATGAGATAGAAATCTACCAACTCAACATGTGTATTCCACCAGGAACGGACGTGACTTTTTCTTCCAGAAAATATGAAACAACCTGATAGGAGCAGAACGGAGATTTGCGAAGCAATTCATCAATATACTTATATACATGATTCCAAATGCCACAAGCAAAAAGCAGCCTGCTGCTTTATGGCTGACTGTAAATTCCCAATGAAAATCCAAATAAATCAGCAGTAACTGATGAACCAAGAGCGGCAGAATCCTAAATTGTGGGAACGGATTTTAGAGAAATTCCTCTCTCGGTACATATTTTTGCTATATTTTGAGCCTCTTCAAAATCACCTTGCAACCAGAATTTCTGAAATCAAATTGCGTGTGAAGGAATCAGGAACGCAACCATTCACTTCCATTGAAAAAAACATCTTCTTAGCTTCCTCACATCTCCCTGATTCAAGCAATGCCTTAATAAGAGCACCATAAGTATAGTTGTCAGGAATCAAACCCAAGGTGAACATGGAAACAAAAGTCTTCTCTGCTTTCTCAACCTTTCCCATCCTACAAAAACTTTGAACGAGAGCATTGAAAGAGAAAATATCAGGGCTTATTCCATCTTTTCGCATGTCTTTTAAGAGTTTCATTGATCTAGCAACATCTCCAATAACACACAGAGAACGAATCAATATATTGTATGTGACAGCATTAGGAGAGATACCCCACTCTAACATTTCACTGAAACAAGCTAAAGCATCATCAAACTGATGTGCTCGACAAAGACCATCAATTATCGAACTAAAAGTGAAGATATCTGGTTTCAATCCCCGTTTTAAAAGCAGCTGCAACAGTTCACGTGCTTTACGGACCTCTCCAACTTTGCAGTGTCCACTAATAAGGGTATTAAAAGTAACAAGGTTGGGAGAAATACCTCTGTCTTGCATCACTTTGAAAGCCTTTACTGCCTTGTTTATCACATTGGCTTTGCAGAAGCAATCAATTAGCATGTTATATGAAAATACATCTAACAGATGTCCATCCTTGACCATTTGATTCAAATACCGATCACCCTCCATATCTCTTCCTGCCTTATACAAAGTTTCAATTAACGCAAGATAGATGCTAAACCCCAACTTCACACCCCGATCAATAAATCTATCCAATATCCCACATGCATCATTGACATCCAAACCCTTTAGCAAACAAGTCATTGTGATGTTAAAAGTCGAACTGTCAGGCAAGTAACCTCTCTCCCCAAGTTTCCTCAATAATGCGCCTGCCTCCCTTGGCATACACTTCTCTGACAGGCAACATAGTAACGTATCACAAGCCAATCTCCCCAAGACAGGCTCCTTTTCTATAAAATTTATCACCAGCACGAACGCCTCACGTGGAGCTGCACAACGAAACACCCCATGAACCAATGATCTGATAGTAGCTTCATTAGGATTAAAATTCCGAAGCTTCATTGTTTCTAAAACCCTAAATGCTTCATCAAACCTTTTTGCATTACAAAACCCATCAATCAAGATTGTATACGTATAAACATTAGGCCAATATCCAAAACCCTCCATCTGCTTAACAAGCCGAAGTGCCTCATCCACCACACCAATTTTACAAACTCCATGAATAAGTAAATTATAAGTAAACCTGTCAGGTTTACAGCTATCTGCTGACATCTGTTGAAACTTCAAATAAGCCAGGTCAAGAGAGTTTGATTTTACCAATGCATCAATAACAGCATTATATATCCTTGTACTAGGACAAATACCCAAAAATGATATTTGTCCAAATATTTCCTCACAATATTTTGCCAATCCTAACCTTCCCCAACTACCAATCAAAATGCAAAGCAAATCTTCATTAACCCGAAAACCCGAGTTTCTAATATCTCTAAGCAAATCAACAGACAATACAACGGGACCTTTTCGAAAAAATGCATTAGCTAAAACACCCTTAACAGCCTGATTCCTAGTAAATAACGGGTGGATATTCGAAACCCAGATATAAAATCTCAAAGGATGTATTGGGTTTTCTTGATTTTGCAAAACCCTAACTACAAACTGAGGATTTAAATTAATCCTTTTTGCCTTAAACTCGTGGTTGAGCAGTAAAAACCAGTCATTTCTTGACAGAATTCTAGAAATATAATGATGATCAACTGGTCTAGTATCTCTATTATGTGAAATGTGACCTTTTGGGACTGAAACAGAGTTGGATTTTTTAAGTTGAGAGTTTAGTGAAGAAAGACAATTATTACCTGTTAAAGAAGCTTCAGTGACATAGGTTTGCCTTTGAAGTTGATCAGTTTTGGGCTTTGAGGGGTTCTTTTGAGTGGTGAACTTTGGCTGATTGAATGATTTTGGAAATTTAGAGAGGTTATAAAATGCAGGCGATGCCCTGGAAGCTAAAGAAAGCCCTCTCATGTCGTTTCTGCCGAAACTGGAACCAAATGACGAGGAGGGGTTTAGCAACGCAAATTTCAAAACCAGGTCGGCAGAAATTAATTTTAATTCCTGGACTCGAATGATTCACTTCACACTGTCTATAAGTAGGAGCTTACTCTTGTCATTTGTACACTAAAAAAAAAGCTTGTATTTTGTGTTCTTAACTTAGTTAACTTAGTGCAGCTTATAAGCTTATAATTCTTTTCCATTGACTCAAAAGAGCAATATACATCATTTTTAAAAGTTTTTTATTTGTTTTTCTTATACTTCCACCCGGAGCTATATAATTTTTATTTGTTTTTTTTATTTGGATAAGAATGATACTATTTTATTTTGAATTTTAAGTTTTACAAGTAATACAAACTTGTAAACACGATAAAGTTATTAAGCTTATTATATGCTTGAGATTGCATGTAACATATATTTGATCTATTATATCATAAATTTATACAAATGACATGTATCGTTTAAAAAAAAGCAACCTCATTATGCTTCAAGACAATCATCTAAAAATTTTAATAAAGCAATTTTAGTATTTTTTTGTTTGTGATTTTTTAAGATAATATTTTTTTTCAATAATTTGAGACGATATTTCCAATAAAAAAATACTAATGTAATGCATGGGTAAGACTCCACTAGAGTGAGTGATCTTAATAAGTCATTCTTCTTTTGTGGTATAAATTTGAAAAGTGGAGGCAAAAAATGGTATTTATCTTACTCTATTGAATGTTGGTTGTGCCTTAACAAAAAAAATTCAAATTTTTTTTTGAAAATATGAATGATGAAGAGATAGCTCAACATGATATGTAAGTTAAGAATTGAAAAAAAGAGAATAATCTTGTCGCAATTATTTACTTGTTTGACTTTCTAATAATCTTTATGAATAATGTGACTAGAGATATCTTTCTCTTAACAAGATTTAAAAAGCTCTACATCCAAAATATGATAACAAAGAAGCTTGATCCAAAAATGTGACTAAAGAATCATTTTGTCAAGTTTCATATGAACGAAGAAAGCCCGAGATTGATCAAGCTTATGAACTTTAAATTATTGCACATAACATCCGATCCGAAGGCACATATATATAGATGAAACGCAAGTTTTAGTCATCATTAACAAGTTGCTAGGATCTTAGAAAAATTTTGCTAAAGGCTTAAGGCATGAACAAAATGAACTCCCCATTAAAACTCTTATTACTTGTCTAAGAGTTGAAAAGGAAGCAAGAAACCAATACAAAGTCGTTGAACTTAATAGTTCAAATGGTGCTAAAGTAAATTTCATTACTTCTAATAAAAACTCTTATCACATGCTAAAAGTCCATGAAAAATTTAATGGTCAACTTAGGTTAGAGAAAAAGCTTTTCAATAAGAAAGCCTTATGGAAACTATTTTCACTCCAACCAAACAAGAAATTATGAATCACATCCTAAACCACCATAAATTTTCTAAATTGTTAATGAAAGTTGAGATCAATCACAAGGCCTTAATGTAATAGTTTTTAAAAACTTGTTGCAAAATACCTAAACATAATATGTTTGACACAATATTTATTTCTCTTAAAAAGCTTTTTTAGGACAATGTTCGTTATTCGTTTAAGAACAATATTATTAAAATACTAAATAAAGGTTCAATCCATTGATATTTTTATGTATTATATTCGTTTTCTTATCTAAATTACATGGCTAATATTTTTTTAAAATAAGTGGGGGATTATTAAAATATTTGAAGAAAAAAATATCCATTTCAAAAGAGTACAAGTTATTGTTGAAAACGAGCTCGTTTTTAAATTTTTCGATAAATAGGATATTTTTCTTGTCATTTGTATCCAACAAAAAACAATTTTTTTTTCAAATCTTACAACTAACGTAAACTTGTTAGATACAACAATATAGCTAAAATTATTGTATTTTTGAAAAAAAAACACATATAATATATACTTGATCTATTATATTAAAAATACATATGATCATGTTGTGTCTCGAGAGAGTCACATAATAAATTTATTTTTGGTGTAATAAGTATGATCATGTTGTGCCTCAACAAAGTCACCTAATAAAGTTATTTTTGGTGTTTTCGGTTCGTATTTTTTTCAGGTAATATTCTTTTTTTCTTTTTTTTTCAACAAAAACAATATAAAAATATTTTTAAACTAGTTTATGTGTAAACCTAAATTAAATTCTTTTTAGGACGATTGCATCTTTATATTTATGCGATTCAGATGACAAAAAATACATGTTGATCTCAAAAGTTCGAATTGATTTATTTTTGTTTTTATTGAAGGATCGCACCTCCTTACCTACCATACCCATCTTTTAAAGTTAATACACCCTATTATTACGCATAACGCATAAGAGGATTCTACCTTCATACAATCGCAGATACTGATAATAAAAACATGCAAGGACTGTAAAATATTAAATTTCTCTCATAAGTCATAACGAAAGCTCCTTTATTAAAAATAGCTGAGATAAACATTCAAAGGCGTATTGCAATGAGCACAATTTTCACGATTATAGATGTTTGTAAACACATCTAATAACTTCCTTTCAACATTTAATCAATCTAACCCTGCCTGCAATAACAACAAAACAAAAATAAAAATGCTAATGAATTGTGTTAAAGCATCCAAAAGTAATTTGGTAAAAAATATTAACATCCATATCCATACTCACATTGCTACCAGATGTACAAGCCGGTCTCCTGGGAGGCAGCGGATGGTGAGGTGTTTTCTGCAGTTTGTCAAAGGAAGAACAATCATGTGACCATAAACTTTTGTTTAAAAAGGAGGCCCAAACAGATATCTCCATTTCTTATCCCTTTCTATCTTCTCAAATTCTCATCCTCCCTCCTCCTTTGGGGTTTCATCATCAAACTTCGTAATGCAAATCTCAAATTTTAGCCACATTCTCTTAGAAACCATTTTTAACTATAAATTTAGTCAACTCTAATGTGATTAGCTCTATTTTTTTTTCTTACTACATTTAATGCCTATGTTTTTTTTTTTTTGGGGGAGGAGAGAAGGTCTCTGCCCAAAATAATAATAATAATAATAATAATAATAATAAACTATTGTACTTGTAGTTTTGGTCGCAAAGTTTCTATTGCGACTGTTGACTTCTGATTCCCTCCAGCTCCTTGCTGTTTGAAAAAAGGGGGAAAAAAGAAGAAGAAGAAGAAGAGACGGAGGTGAGATAGGGTTTTAGGCACAGAGTAATTAAATCAATAACAGTTATCATTTTTTTCTATTTTGTAATTAAAACCGTCACCTCTAATCTGCCATTAACAAATGAAATGAGAAAACTAACTCGTACTTTATCATTCTTTTTATTTGATTTCTTAGGGTTTAATTTTATTTATTTGAACACTTTCAAATCCAAAAAGGGTCAATCGAATGTATCTAATGTGATAATTGTTTAAATGTGGGTATTTTTTTAAACAAGTGCACTTTATCGGTTATTTAAGTTCAACAGAAAATTTTGATCAAGCACAAATATAAAAATTATGACTATCTTGCAAATATATTACAGTGGAGGCAGGGTCAAAATTTTAGTTGTAACAAGAGACACTTGAATGCAAATCTACTGAGACCCTAAAAATGAAAATAGAAATAAAAAGGCATGATTTCCACGACCTTAATTAGAAGAAAGCAACTTGGCAAGCAGGTTGGCAGCCATTAAATAAAATATCGCCATTGCTGCACAGTAACTGGCAGCAATGCAAAAGCAGGTTCTTTCAAGGCAATATATGGGACCATTGATTGTAATTAAAGTAACTGTCACAGACCGAAACCTAAACCAGTACTGACGGGACAACACATGAAAATTTGTGATTTTTTCTGTAGTAATGACAATTACCTTGCATAATGCCCAGTCTGCTGAATCAAAGAAAGCACGCTCATGGTCCTACATGCATCATCAAAGGGTCATTCATCATATGTACTGAATATATAGTACATATTTTGCTTTTGTGTTGATTTCATTCCCCTTCCCCCCCCCCCAAAAAAAATATATATATAGTTTTTATCCGATTCTATTAAAAAATCTCCTCTCTATCTATTACTCTTTTAATGTTTTACCCATTTATCAACAAGATACTTCCGTTTGTAGTGAATAAAATAAAATGATCTATTTGCTTTGATATCATTTGTTAAATTACATTATATATCTAGCTTACCTTTGAAATCAAGGGCTTCTTCTTGGGTGCAAGCCCTCCATATTTCTTGCTCATGGATGCTGCCTGTTATTAAAAAAAAAAAAAAAAATCACCTTTTGATGGGCAAGTTTGACAAAAATATTCAACAACTTTATTTCCAAGGGAAAAACACGTAATTAAAAAAAAATATATATATATATATATATATATATATATATAAGTTTCAGGGGACTGCTAAATAGACTATAAAAACCAGCAAAGCATTGAAGGGAATGTTTCACTGCGGTTTATGAATTTGTATATCAGACAATTGAAGTTCAAGAACTTGTTTGATAGCATAATAAAATCACCCTAGACGAATTAAGAAAGAGCCAAACTAATGTCTGTGCGTCCAAGAGCCGCCCCAACGACTAAAACTCGACACTTTTATTTTGAAATGTTTCATATATTGGGCCTCCGTGGGGTGGAACTAGGGCTGTGCACTTAGATTTTGATAGGCTCTACTGTGTGAACAAGCCTGTTTGGATTATTCACCACGAGAAGGAGTCCACGAGTTGTGTGAACAACGTTTTTGCAACGTGAAAGACCCTTGGAGACTGATTCATTGATTAAAGATGGTGCTACTAGAAACCAAAACGATTATCTGTGAATTAGGTTAGAATTAGCAATAAAAAGCTTGGTTAGGTACAACGGACGACACTTTCCCGTCTAAATGGTAGTTTACTTTGACCCCATCAACTGATTAGAATTTGTGACTTGTATTTGCTTCCTATCTTTAAAATTTGACCATACGGATCAAATTATCTATAAATTTTAAATTATTTGTTA